AGGTGTGTATGATTTTGCAAATCCTATGGCTCGAGAAACCAAAAGTCAAAAACAAGACGAAATTTGCATCTGTGTAGCCACTTTTCACATTTACGGTTATGATCATAAAATTTTTTGTACATGTACATAACTAGCTGTGTGCTTCATCCAGATTATATATTATCAAACATAGTCCATTATTTAAATTGAATCATATCTCGAATCTTGATGTTGATTCAAAATGTACGTATTCCATGCATTGATGAATATCGTTTGCCGATGATATTATATAAAGATCACGATATTTTGGTTTATGTATAGTTTGCACGAAAAAATGCGTTTTAACGTATTGTAAAGAACATAAAAACATCATGAAGATTTGCAGTGAAAATGCGACCTTACTAATGAGAAAAGTTGCTTTAAAATGTTTGGAATTGTCGTATTCCAGTTGTTTGCTGTTTTCAAAATCATTAGATGGACAGTCAGATATTCAAACTAGAGTCAAAAATTGTCTATTTCAATGTTTCTGTTCATAGTGTTGGAATTGCTATAAGTAGATTATTTCACAGTACAGTCATGATTTTTATTCATCGAAATCATGAGAGTTTGAAAAAACGACTTAAAAAGATTTTTTTCCGTTAGTTACATATGATGGAAAAGTGTTCAAAGAAACATAGTTCGATACTCTTACATCTGAATAATCTGTCTACTATGCCACTTCCTTTAACCTTTTTTCTCTCTATAAAAATATGTTCAATTAATAATTCTGTACATTTTCAAATCCCAATGTTGAGCTATATAATACACATTTATTCACTGTCCAAAACATTATTTACAAAACAAATCGTTTTTGTTGCAAAAACGTTGTATAGATTATTGTCAAACACTGAGCATACAAAAAAAAAAGCAAAATGCCTATATAAAAAAAACATTAAAATTATTCTCTGTATTCATTCATTTGAGATATAGCTAAACTAAGTGAAATAGTCCCTACTGTATCTCTGATAACAGTATTTTTGATGAGCGTGTGGGATAGAATAGTTTGTCATCATTATCTTTATCAACATTCTCGCCACCATTCTTATCTTGTTTTCTAAAAATGTCACTATGTGATGCATAATCACCTTCAAAATAATCGGAATCATCAATTAATTGAAATGAATAAGTTTGAATGCTACTATTATTCGCACAAAATTGGTTATGTTCACATTTAATTACAATTCTAAAAATATGTCCTTCTTCCGAATGTAATGCAAATGATTTCTGATGCACCATGAAGTTTTTCATATGGCTAGCAGTAGCACCACCACATATTTTATCAAGTTTAAGTTTAATATATGTTTCAACATCGCCGAAGCTGAATCCTGTCAGTGAACGTAGATCCGACATATTTTATACAAGTTACAATATTGAAAATGAATATTATGATGTTTGTTAAAGAATGAACGTTTGTGTATGTATGTATGTGTAATAGAGAGTGAATGTATCGATTAGTACATGCCAGGT